CAAGATGGTATCTCATTGTTGTTTTGATTTGCATCTCTCTAATAGCTAATGATCGTGAGCATTTCTTCATATGTTTGTTGGCCGCTTGAATATCCTCCTTAAAATCAAGTTTTTTATGTGCTTCAAAAACACTTCTCCAAAAAAGAATAATAAGAGAATGTACAGATTGGGAAAAAATATTAGGCTATGACATATCTGACAAGGAACTTATCTCTAAAATTTATAGAAAACTCCAACACCTCAGTAATAAAAAGACAAACAATCCAATTCAAAAATGGGCAGAAGACATAAATAGACACTTCACCAAAGAGGATATTCAGGCAGCCAACAAACACATGATGAAATGTTCACGATCGTTAGCCATTAGAGAAATGCAAATCAACGAAATACCATCTGGCCCTAGCACTAAGAGCAAAGTTCAACAAGACAGAAAATAACACATTCTGGTGAGGATGTGGAGAGATTAGGACTCTCATACACTGCTGGTGGGACTGTAAAATGATAACCACCATGGAGAGCAGTATGGCAGTTCCTTAAAAAGTTGGAATTAGAGATACCATTTGATCCAGCAATTCCATCACTAGGTATATATCCTAAAGAAGTGAGAGCCAGGACAAGAACAGATATATGCACACCCATGTTCATTGCAGCACTGTTTACAATAGCAGAAAGATGGGCACAACCTGGGTGCCCATCAACAGAAGAATGGATAACCAAAGTATGGTACATACACACAATGGAATACTATGCAACACTAAAGAATAATGTAGAATCTGCAAAACATCACATAACAGGGATGAACTTGGAGGACTTATGCTAAGTGAAGTAAGTTAATCACAGAAGGACAAATATAGTATTAGTCCATTATTGTAAAAAGTCAAGGAAAGGTTTATATATGGAAGGAAACTTCCTTTGTTGGTTACCAGGGGTGGGAGGCCTGGTGGCATAGTGCCTGAGGCATTTGACTGCTAACCAGAAAGCTGGCAGTTCAAACCCACCAGGCAATCCTCAGAAGGAAGACTGGGCAATCTACTTGCATAGTGATAGCACCTTGGAAACTCACGGAGGGGTCGCTATGAATCGGATCTGACTGGAGGCAGTGAGTTTATTTTTGTTTGTTTGTTTAAGGGTAGGAGGGGAGGGGAGAGAACACTGCAAAAATAAAAAATAAAACAGGGACAATGATCTGTTCATGTTTGCATTTCCTCACCTAGCAATTTCTAGCACATAGAAGGTATGGAATCAATGCGCATTAACGGTTCCAATGGATGGCATTTTCAAAGTATAGCTATCATTTTCTGAACAATTGCACTTCATGAATGCTCAATGAAGAAATGGGTAATAGCTTTTCTATACTACTGTTTAATGAGACTTAGAGAAATGAAAAAGGCAAAATTGAATCGACTCCAAAGGAGAAAGCTGAGCAGACATAAAGTTGGGGCACGTCTATACTTGTGTGTGTATTCTGGGTTCAGATAAAGAATACTCTGGTCACTTTTCAACTCACTTAGCACAGCATCCCATATCCCTATCTAAGAACTTTACTGGGGGAGAACTGCATTCCTAGAACACCCTTCAAGGGGTTTGCAAGGGTAACTCTGGGTCTGAGTGGTATTCTGCATTTGCTCTGTCTGGAAGGCCATTTAACCCAGTCCCAAATGGCTAAATCTCTTTTTTTCTCCACAGGGAAACAACTGGAAGGCATCTGGTAAGTTGGGTGGATTCCTTAAATTGATTGGTTTATGAAACAGCATAGTGCCCCATGCATTTCAGATGCCAGTCTGTGGCTTTCAGCTTGAAATCTCACTCTCTCTGTCTTAAATCTTCAAGTCCTAAAGCAGTGGCTCTCAACATGGGCCAGTTTGCCCCCCAGGGGGCATTTGGCAATGGCTAGGGACATTTTTACTGGGTGGGTAGAGACCAGGGGTACTGCTAAACATCCCTCAATGCCCAGGACATTGCCCTACAACAAAGAATGACCTGGCCCAAAGTGTCAGTAGCTCCAAGGCTGAAACACCCTGCCGTGACCACCCCATCGCCATCGCCAAGCTTTCTGAGCCCAGGAGTCTTGAGGGCCCCACCTTTTTATCTTAATACACAACTACTGCTTGGTCTCTTAGTACTAGACCCTCCCTGTCAGACTCCAACGTGGGGACTGGGCTCTCAGTTACATTTATAAGGAAGCCATAGGTCAACAGGTGTGCCATCCACATCCAAGAGCCTGCTGACGTTTGGGTTGACCAGAATGACCCTTTGCTTGGGTTCACTGGAACCAAGTGCTGTGAGCATCTAACCTGAAATAGATCCCCACTTCACATCACCTGCTCTGTTCCTTAACCTGGCCCTGGTTAACTGCTCACATCAGCTTTCAAAGCCTGGGAGCGCACGTTGGTCTGCAGAGCTTCATCTGAGTCATTGATGTATCAGTGTCAATGTGAATAGCTGGGCCCTTCCGTTTACATCACCTTCAGCAATGGCTCTCAATCTAAGGCAGTTCTGCTCTCTACCCCACCCACTCCTGAGACACTTGGCAACATCAGGAGACATTTTTCATTGTCTCACAACTCGGGGGGTGGGGAGCAGGTGCTACTGGCATCTAGTGAGAGACCAGGGGTGCTGCTAAACCTAATTAACACAGGACAGCCCCCTCAACAAAGAATTATCCAGCCCAAAATGTCACCAGTGCCCAGGCTGAACGACTCTGATCCATGGTATACACCTTACTCGAGCTCTGTTGGGTGAGTTTGTAAGCCTGTTCACCACAGTCATATCCTGGGCAGAAGTTACTGTCAGTAAAATGGAGTGTTTGCTTTTTCTCTGACCAGTTTTGAGTTTTCTGGCTCATTCTGTCTCTTTCCTGTATGGCAGGCATACCTCCATAGTTGTGCACAAAGATGAGTTCTTCTTCGGCAGTGGTGGCATCTCCAGCTGTCCCCCGGTGAGTACCCGCTCCTGACCCCTGACCCACAGTCTCAGGCCCTTGGGGGGTTCCCATGGACCAGGAACGCCGCTTCTGCTGTCTGCCTTCTGGCTTCCAGCCCAGTGTGTGGAGGCCGGTACCTTACGGCTAAGCTCAATGGACCTTCCCCAGGGCCCCCAGCCCATTGTTCTCTGCTTCCACACACCTGTGGGTGGGTCTGTTGCCCACTGAGCAGGTCAGAGTGAAATGTGCTGTTTCCGTATAAGCTCCTTGTGGGCTGAGACCATGTCTCACTCTTATATCCCCAGCACGGTGCCTGGCTGATAGTATGAACTTAGCCATGGTTGAGTGACGAAGGCTCCAAGAGGTAAAAAGTGAGTTGCCCCCAGTTACACCAGTAACTTACAGCCAGTAAGTGCACCAGTACTAGAAGTTAGTTTTCTCTAAAACCTACGTTTTCCCAAAAAAATTGTCAGAGCTCCCCAAAGTCTGTCACAGAGTATGCAAGCCACCCTTCATTTGATTCTCATAAGTGGGAAGTCATCCTACACCGAGTCCTTCATATACCCAGTCAGTCCTACCTCATAAACGTATCTTAAATCCACCTGTCTCTGCATCACTTCCCATTTCTCCAGAGCTTTCACCTTAATCCAGGCCTCCCTTACATCCTGCCTGGACCACTGCATGGCCTCCTGGTCTCCTTGCAGCTCCTTGGCCTCTGCTGTCAGTTCTTCACTCAGGAGGTCAAGCGACCTTTGCAAAGGAAAATCAGGTCCTGGCACTTGCCCTCTTATCCCATTGCTTTTGGAATAAATTCCAGAAAGTTCAGCAAGGCCTCCAAGGCTTTTCAGGTGGTGCTCTCCCCTGCCCCCAGTCTCTCCTCACTCTTTAAACACACCTTGAACATTTAGACCTGTATCTGACATTAGCTGACCTCCTTGCTCCTTCACTGCTCTCTTCAGTCTTAACATTTTAACTCATTGTCACTTCTACAGGCAAGTCTTCCCTGTCCTCTCACACTGGGCAGGTCTTCTGTCACAGATACTCATGGGATGGCATTTTCTGCTTTTTAGCAGGACCCTTTTTGCAACTTAAAATTACACATCAGTTTATGGGATTTTTTTTTTTTTTTTTTTTTTTTGCTGCCTTGCCCACTAGATTATAAGCTCTACGAGGACAAGAATCTCATCTGTTTTGTCCACATTGTACCCCCAGTCCCTAGCATAGTGTCTGGCAATAGTAAGTTCTTAATACATGTTTGCTATATGAATGAATAATAGGATTAAATAGTGACTTTTTAGTCTCGTCCAAGGAGCTGTGGTGGTGTAGTGATTAACATACTTGGCTGCTAACCAAAAGGGCACTAGTTTGAACCTAACAGTGGCTCCACAGGAGAAAGATAAGGCAGTCTGCTTCCATGAAGATTGACAGTCTTGGAAACCCTACGGGGCAGTTCTCAAAAAAAAAACCTCACTGCCATTGAGTCAATTCTGACTCATAGTGACCCCCATTGCGTTTCCAAAGCTATAAATCTACAGAAGCAGACTACCCGGCTCATCTCTCTTCTGAAGAGCAGCTAGTGGGTTCAAACCACCAACCTTTTTGGTCAGTAGCCAAATGCCTCAGCCACTAGAGCACCCGAGCTCCTTATGGGGGAGTTCTACTCTGTCCTACAGAGTTGATATGAGTTAGAAAGACTTGACGACAGTGGGTAGGTAGGTAGTCTCTTTCAGCTCTGAGACAATTGTTCTCTGACTGCAGAAATTCTCTCTCCTGTTCACTGCAGTATCCCTAATGCATGGAACAATGTCAAGCATGTTGTAGGTGCCCAATAACTAAGAAGAATGAGTCATGATCTTTCAGGGGCCTCTGTTCTAGAATTTTGCTCTTTATTCCTCAACCCCTTTCCAGTGATCCTATTGGTTCTGAGTTGGCTGGTTTCCCCAGTGATGGGTGTTAACCCTCATGGCTAAGGGTTTCCATAGACCTTTCAGGGGCTATTAACTCCCGTGCCTGGGGAACCCATCACCACCATTGGATTAGCCTCACAAATGAAAAAGAGCTGAATGGTAGAAATATTTGCCATTTTTGAGTGTCACAAGGCATATCAAGTGTGTCTCAGAGAAAAATTGGATGCACACCTTATGAATGTAGGTATGGAGAGGTGGCCTATAGAGTGTAAGCCATTTCTTGTCCTGTTCTGTCCTCATGAAGAGGCATGATGGGGACAACAGGAGACCATATTCTGGGTTTGTTTTTCTCAACTGAATGACTGGACAGTAAGGTGTTGTGTGGGAATAGAAAGTAAACAGGAAGCTCTAAGCCATTGTAGCCATGATACAAATAGGAAACAGCACTCTTCATCTGCCCGGGAGACACTGAAAGTTAAAAAGGAAGTTGGAACAGAGCATTTGAGGTCTCCCACAGGAAGCTACATTAAAAATTGTGGTGGAAATGGTGACTGACTTTCTTTGGGTCGGCTCTTTTAGGGCGGGACATTGCTTGGGCCCCCAGACTCTGTGGTTGATGTGGGGAGCACAGAAGTCACAGAAGAAATCTTTCTGGAGTACCTGTCTTCCCTGGGGGAGTCCCTGTTCCGGTGAGTGGAGACAGGGCTGGTGGGGAGTGGTATCTCCCCATTTGCTAACCCGCCCCAGCAGGCAGCCCCCGATCATAGTCCCCAGAGCACTCGGCACAAGGCCTGGCCCAGATCTGCTGAATAACCATGGAGAGAGGCAGCTGTCTCACCACAAGAAGAGCCCCGAGTGGCTCTGAAGCAGATGCTCCACCCCATCCTACGACTTTTCACAGGAAGAAGGGCTGTTTGTTTTTTCGGATTAAAACTAGCCACTACTGTTTCAGCAGATGCTGTTCTCGACCTGTGTCGGCCCAGTGCTCTGTCCTGAAAATCAAAAGCAGGGTTTGTAGAGGGGCCAAGTGAATACCGATTGGAGCAGATTTCTCTTAAAGGACTTTTAGTCGATTCCAAGGACTGGAGTAAGCTCTAACCCCGGAGCTCTCCTTCCGTGATTATAATGATGCTCCTGCACCTGTCCAAGAGCCATTCATTTTCAGGTCATACTTCCCTTAAGAATCTATCTGTGAAGGGTCAGGTTGGCCATGCTCTTTGAACGTCTCAAGTCAAATGGTCCTTGCAGAGCGTGAGATGGGAAATTGCAGTGCTCACATGCCAGCCACTCCATAACCTGGTTTGACTTATTCCACATAGATGTTGGCTTGCTTCCTTATGTCTGTTCTCCACATCTTTCTCACAATGTACAGAGGTGAGGCCTACAACCTCTTTGAACACAACTGTAACACCTTCAGCAACGAGGTGGCCCAGTTCCTGACCGGGCGGAAGATCCCTTCTTACATCACTGACCTTCCCTCTGAAGTTCTCTCCACGTAAGTGTGGCCTCTGTCTCTTCCCCTGGCTTGCCCAACCTCTAGATCCCCACTCAGAGTCAGCACCCCTCCTCTGGCCCGTATCTGCCCTCCTCCGATCTCAGCAGGAGCTCTGGTGGCATAGTACCTAGGGCATTTGACTGATAACCAGAAGGCTGGTGGTTCAAACCCACCAGCCACTCCTCGGAAGGAAGATTGGACAATCTACTTCTGTAGGGATACTACTTTGGAAACCCAAGGAGCGGTCACCTGAATTGGATCCAATTCAATGGCAGTGAGGTTTTTTTTGTGTTTTTTTTTCCTGATCTCAGCAGAACCCACCCAAGCCAGCTAGACTCTGTCATGGTGGTACTTTCTCCCATCCAAGTACTAACCAGGCCCAGGCCCCTTAGCACATTCAGGGTGGTGCAGCCACAGACGATGGTGGCCCTCTCTAACACAGAAGGCCCCTGCTCTCTCCACCACTGATGTTTCCCAGGATTATCTTCACCTCCTTGGAGTTAGACCAACTCTACCTGGCTTTCCTGTCACTTTAGAACTTAGAAGCCCACCTGCCCCCACTCCAATTCCTGTACAGGAGTCAGTCTTTCCCATTGTGCACAAGCCTGGCACTCCCTGGAAATGCCTGGTGAAAAAGCAGTTTGAGATAGAAGAACCCACAGTGGCTCAGAGAATGAACAGGGCCTGGGTCTGTAACTGTCTCTGTTAGTCTGTCTTCCACGGCACCATGAGCTCTTGGAGGAAGAGGATGACTTCCTACTTGTCCTTCTACCCTGAGCACAATCAGCCCTGAGTGATATTTCCTTCCTCCAAGAATATTCTGTAGCCCCTCCTGCTCTAATGTGGTCCAGGCCGTGCTCCAGGCAGTGCCTGCTGAAAGGATGCACACACGCTCCGAGCCACCCCTCCTCCTGCCCTCTGCCACTGACCGCATTCAGGTAGCCTGCCCCCACTCCAGGACCTTGTCCGTTTGCTGACCCTGACTTGGTTTATCCTGACTAGCGCCCTCCCCAACAGGGATGCCAGCAGGTTTGGCAGGCTCAGCCCCCCAGCCCTGTCTTTCCAGACCTGGGTGGGCGACTAAACCCCACCGCCTTCCTGAAGTATCTAGGTCATGGGGCCCTACGCAAACCTGAGTAGCTGGAATGTGCTCTTGCTAGTGTTATTGGAGGGTGGGGTTCCTGGGCTGATAGTTGTTTGTTTCATCTCGTTATGCATTGGAGGACCTCATTCCTTTTGACCTGGGAGATGTTTTCAAAACTAGCAGTATCCTCTAAAGGAAAGAAAGCCAGGGAGTGAGATGTGGCCAACCTGCTTCCAGGCTGCAGGAATCTTGGACTGTCTCTTTCTGTTCACGCAGGGTTTTCCTCAGTTAAGCACCAGTGAGAGCAAACCAGGAGCCCATTAGAAAGTGGCATTAACACCTTCCGGCAACTTGGCATTTCTAATTGTTCCTGAATATTCACTTCACTCCCTGAAAGCCCTCAGTTCCTGAAAGAATCCCGTGGCGTGCCAGGCTCACTCCTCCTTTGGTCTTCTTTTTCACGTCCTTTTTCTCATGTCCCAAGCTTTATATTTATCTTCTTATACCAAGAGCATTAAAGGCACAAGTACAGAAAATTCTAAAAGGTCTGGGTCCCTGTATGTGACCAGCCTGTTCACACCATAGCCCAGACAGAATCCAGAGGTGCAGGCCATGAGTTGGTAACCCCCACTGAGGGAGGGCCCCCAGGGCTGGCAAAGTGGAACAGGCTGCTTCAGAGCTGTCCTCTGAGAAAGCTGACGTGTGAGGCAGGTGAGAAAAGAAAACGAGCTGATGGTGTCTTTCTTCCCAGTGTGACAGTGCCCCTACCCACCCCACCGCCCTGCCTCTGGGGCCAGGCTGCTGCCACCTGCATCTGAGAACCCACCCCAGGTCCCACCTCTGTCTCCTCTGCAGGCCCTTCGGACAGGCACTGCGGCCCCTCCTGGACTCCATCCAGATCCAGCCTCCTGGGGGGAGCACCGTGGGCAGACCCAACGGGCAGAGCTAACAGGACTGCATGGGACCGCCCTCCTCACCAGGGCTTTTCCTTTTTAAACAAAACAAACCCTACCAGATTTCTATTTTATAATTTTACATCAGAGCTAACCACCAGGGGACGGCCTTTTAAATTTCCCAGGGAAGGAGATCGTCAGGCTGCACATAGGACAATGCTGCTAAGAAACAGAACAAAATGCCGTCCCTTCTAATAGTATTACACTAATTTATTAAGGCTGTCTTGTCTGTGAGTTCACTTGTGACGCTGTTTCCTAAGCGTCCTCCACGTGGAGAAAGGAGGGGGAGGGGTTGGCTAAAGCAGAAAGCAAGAGACACAGTTTGGGGGCGCCCCAACCTAGAACCTCTTTCCAGAACTGGCCACGCTCCACCCAGGTTGCTCTCACCCGTGGGACCCGAGGGAGTGTTCCACACCCACGGCCTGGGGGCAGTTGCTCTCTAGGGTGAAATGAGCCAAAGCTTTGGTGCCCGTGGGACCAGTTTCAGGATGACTGGCCCCACCTCAGTGGACTTCTCAGCCACAGCCTGTCACCGCCCCTCCCGGCCCCGGGAAACCAAGCAAGGGCATAGGGGCCGGAGCAGCGAGAAGCATCAGGACACAGGGAAAGTGACAGCAGGAGTTAGGCCCGAGGGAACTGGAGAGAGCCACTCACACCTTCGCCCAGACCACCGCCAGTCTGCTGCCATCACCTGTAGACAGCCTGTCTGCTGCTCACGAGGCTTCACCTCCTCAGCTTGACCTATCAGAGCGAATGAAGGTGTGCATGGGGACAGGAGACCCAGGCCTTTGTCTGCAAAGGACGACGGAGGTTATTTGCAGTTGCTGTGACCACCCACCCAGACCAGTGTGCAAGTGAGGCCTGGAGCTACCGAAAGACGCGTCTCTGCTCCAGGGAAGCATTCCTGATGCAGAAGGACTCCTGATGCAGTCAAGATGGCGAGGAAGCTGAGAGCTGTTTCCGACAGGGACTTTGACCTGATCCTAATGCCTACTGAAGGTGCATGTTATTTCCACTGTGATTCTGACGTGAAGGAGGTGGGGTGGGGGCATGGGCAGGCACCTTCCTAATGGCCTCCTGGAGGAGTCTGCGTGGCAGGGGACCGCCTGGAGGGGCTCTCGATTCCCTTTCTTCATGGGAGCCTCCCCTGCGTTCGTTTTTGGGGAAGTGAGTGTGGAGAAGGTCCCCGAGTCTCAGCTCTGTCATCCTTGGGCTCCTGCCACAGTCCCCTGCACTGTTGCAGACTTTGTGTACGACCTTGTTTCCGAGGCTGGGTTTCTCCCAGGGAGAGCGACAAGTGGTCCAGGCTGTCACCTGGCTTTCCACCTGCCTTTCTTTCCTGTCGGTCACTCCAGCTTGCCTTGTCCAGCTGGCTCGCGTGCTCTCCCTCCTCCTTCCCTCCCCCTCCCTCTGTCCCACCCACCCAACGGTGCTGGGCATCACAAACTCCCTTTTTTCCTTCCCCACCCACGTCCAGACTGCCCTGCAGTAACCCCACACTCAGGTCTCTCCTCAGAAGTTCACCTGGTGGCTCCCCTGAGAGAACTGAGCCACTGGGTTCACTAAACAGGCTCCTCCCTGCCCAGCAGCCACTTGGGCCAATAACCTGCACCCAAAGGCTCATGGTGAGATGGTTGGCAGTCTTCCTGGAGCTGTGCAGGAAGACACGCTTTCCCCACTCCAGCCCCCACCCCCCCCTACCCCGCCGGCTCTGGCTTTGGAAGCTCAGGCCCAGGCCAGGACCCAGCCCCCTCCTCACGTTTCTCGGTCCACCCCCAAACCTCGGGAGTATGTTCGTTGTGACGAGCCAAGCGCACACAGGCCTGTACGGGCCAGCAGAGTGGAAAAGAGTCACGTAGGGGGCGAGAATCGCACAATGGAGCCGCCTCCACAGAGACCCATGGGTTTAAGGGAACCGAAGGAGGGAGGAGGAGACTGCCCCCTTCCCAGAAATGAAGTTTGTAACTTTGAAATTCCTTCCTGCCCTTGAAGGCCACCTACTGACTCTCTCTGGTATGGAGGTGTTTGGTTTTTCTTGGATGTTTTTCTAATGCAATAAACTCATCTCTGCCTGCTGCGTTTGTGTCTTGCTTCGAAGGGCTGGGTATGTGTCCACCATGAAGCAACTCGGGCTCTTTCCTAATCTGTCTCCCTTCTGAGCTTAACTTTTCTGAGTCTGGATATGTCTCCTTCACTTGGTTGAAAGGTTTGTGGATAAGAAGTGATGATTGAAAAAAAAACCCAATGCCGTTGAGTTGATTCCAACTCCTAGCAGCCCTGTAGGACAGAGTAGAGTTGCCCCATAGGGTTTCCAGGTCTGTAAATCTTTACGGAAGCCGACTGCCACATCTTTCTCCTGTGCATTGGCTGGTGGGTTTGAACCGCTGACCTTGGGTCATCAGCTGAGTGCTTTAACCACTCCACCACTAGGGCTCCTTGAACTGAGAATAGTAGAGAATATGTGAATTCCACTGTCAGTTTATAAAGTTGGAGAAAGGGATACTACATGCCAAGGTCATCTTGCAAGAGGTGGTCAAATAAGACCCAGAGCCTGGTCTGCTGTCCCCAGCTTCGGAGATCTTCCACCAGGAGATCTCAGCCATCAGAAGGTGTCTGACCTCACCAAGAAGGGTTTACTTCGGATTTGCACTTGGCTATAGGCTGGGTCTGGGAGCTCTGGTAGCATAGTGCCTGAGGCATTTGACTGCTAACCAGAAGGCTGGTGGTTCAAACTCACCAGCCACTCCTCGGAAGGAAGGTTGGGCAATCTACTTCCATAGTAACACTGCCTCAGAAACCCAAGGAGGGATTGCTGTGAGTCGGGTCTGACTCGACGGCAAACAACAACAGCCTTGGAAACCCAAGGAGGGGTCACTATGGCTCATAACAACAACAACAATAGGCTGGGTCTATGGCCCCAGGGACCTCTCCCCACCTTACCACTGTGACCTCATTGAACAACTGTTAGTAGTTGTTGACCAACGAGTGTTGGTGGGTGGGGGAAGTGGGTGTTGCTTAGTGGGGATGGGGCTTCCGGTGCTTTCCAGTACTGCCAGTAGGGCCAGGCTGAGTGCAGGTTCAGTTGACCAGCCCTGAGGGAGTGCCTTGCCTGGCTGGCCTGTGCTAGGTACTTTCAGACAGTGGACCTGAGATGTGGGTATTGGTCCCACTTCATGGATGAGCAGAGACTGAGTAACCAGGGGGCAAGTGGCTGTGCTGGCCATTGAATCCAGGCTGCATCTCTGTACTGTGCTAGCTTAAAAAGAGACAAAAAGGGAGCTTGCAGCTCCCCAGAGGACACAGGTGGCTTTGGCTGACTTAGGTGCTTCCTGAAAGCTGACAGGTTCTGAGGCAGGAATCCCTGAGGACTCGGGCCTGCTCTGAGATCACAGCCAGGGCTTATCCCTGGTGAGCCACCTGTGGGCCAGTCAGCTTCAGTCTGTCTCCTTTTCTGTGAAGTGGGGGAGTGGTGCCCCGAACAGCCAACAGAAAGCACTTGGCCCAGTACCTGACACAGGCTGACTGTTTAGAAATGTCAGGCCCAGAGGGCAGAAACAACCACTGCCGGCGCACCCCCTGTGAGCCAGCTCCACGTGAGGTCAGCCCCTCGTCTGCGTCTGCTGGCTGTCGGGTTACAAGATGGGCTGTGGACCTGTGCCCTCCATCTGGGGAGAGCAGCAGGAAACAACTGCTTTCCCCTTAGCTCTGGTGACTCATGGACAGTCATCCCCACCAAGGCTTCCCCGGGAGCCCACTGTATGGGAGGCCGCACTGGGCTCTGTGCTAGGGGACAGGGCCAAAAACAACGAGGTCCCTTCTCCAGGCAGGTTACAATTCAGGGAGTCGGGAACAAAAGGGTAGACACGCTGGGTCATTCCAGGGGGATGGGGCTGGGAAAGAAGTAAAACCAGGTGGCAGGAGCCTGTGAGGGGAATAGCAGATCAGGGGGGCTTCTCAGAGGAGGTGAGCAGGAGCCTGTGAGGGGGAATAGCAGATCAGGGAGGCTTCTCAGAGGAGGTGAGCAGGAGCCTGTGAGGGGGAATAGCAGATCAGGGAGGCTTCTCAGAGGAGGTGAGCAGGAGGTGTGAGGGGGAATAGCAAATCAGGGGGGCTTCTCAGAGGTGATGATATTTGGCCTGAGACCTAAATGACAAGACAGATGGGAGTGAGAAGTTCTCTAGGCAGAAGGACTGAAAGGAGACCTAAGCAGAGGTGAGTGGAAGGCTTGAGGCTGGGGAGACGGGGACGCCAGCCCACATGGCCTTATAAGTCATGGGAAGCAGGTTATGGTTTTAGCAGACACCTGATTGCAACTGTGTGTAAAATGGACTGGGAGGGTTGGGCGGGTGGGGGTGGCTGTCAGGTTGTCAAGAGTGGCAGCAAAAATACCAGTAGGGAGCATCATGGAATTATCAGGTAAGAGGGGACGCATAGGCCACGTCTGCCACGTGCACCCAAAGCTACAGTCAGTCCCTGCCCTCCGGGAGCTTAGAACAGCAAGCAGAGTGGCTCTGGGAAGCCAGCATTCTCAAGACAAAGGTGAAGGGTGTGGGTTAGCCAAAGGCAAGGGCTGCGGGCCTGTGACCCCCTGCCGCCCTGACCCTACTTGCCCCGGGCTCTGCTGCACTACGCCAGTTGTGCTTTGGGTGCACAAATTTGTTTTGGCCAAAGTAAAAATAGCTTGATTGTGGTGGTTTTTGGTTATAGGAGTATAAACATGTATTGAGGAAAATTAAGCAACTGATAAAAGTACAAAGATTAAAAAAAAAAAAAAAATCACCTGAAATTCCGTCATCCTAAGAAACCACTAATTGGTCCCTGGGGAGTACGAGCGCTTTGCAATGGGGTGCTAACGTAAAGGATGGCTGTTCGAACCCACCAAGCATTGCCACAGAAGAAAAGCCTGGTGACCTGCATCCATAAAGATTACAGCCAAGAAAACCGGACGGGACAGAGTTCTACTCTTAACACAGTGATGACCTGCCATGGGTGGGTTTGGTTTTTGACTAAGAAACCGCTGTGAGCATTTTAAGGAGTTCTGGTGGTGTAGTGCCTAAGGCATCTGACTGCTAACCAGAAAGTTCGTGGTTCAAATCCACCAGCCACTCTGTGGGCAGTCTACTTCCGTAAAGATTTACCACCTCAGAAACCCAGAGGGTTG